CAAGTATTTCGGAAAGCTTCATTGTAAGCGATGCGACAAACATTCTGTTGTCGATGGGAAGACTGCTGAAGAATGGCTGGAAACTGGAGTACCAGCCAGAAGTACCTGAGGGAGAGAAAGCTCTTAGTGCTCAGTGGAACCTTACAGTGTCGTCAATGGTTCTGGTTAGCCCAGACGGGAAAGCAAACGCGAGGATCTTTTACAAACGGAACAGCTGTTGTTTGTTAGGTAGATTGTCTGTTGTCGGAAGTGATCGTAGCACCCGTTGGACGGGAACAAGTCGAAGCGATGGAAGCTCGAGAGGTATCACTGACAGTCGTACTGCAGTGGAGAGAAGCGTCACAGTACGTATTCCAAACTATTTACGGGAACTGTTGGACAGGACTCCCAGTGGTAAGTGGACGATCATGGAAGGCGGTACACCTTTTGTTTTGAATCAAGGAACGACTTATATGGATCCCAAGGATGCTTTTCCCGGATGGAAGTATAGGACGACAACGGTATCACAAGGAGGAAGTGAATGGTCATTGGTCGAGTTGTACTCGGACTATGGTTCTATCAGGTGCCACAATGTGGAAATTGCAGAGTGTCATGGAAGACCGAAGAGGATCTGCGTTATCCTCCATGCAGTGAGTGGAAACTTTTTTACTTTCTGTCGAGACTTTGAAGCGGTCATGGTTTCGAGAGGACCGGAAACACCTTTTGCGAGAGGTGAAGGACGAGTTCCAGAAGAACTGAGTACACCGGTCGTACCGGTAAGTATCGCCCCTGGAAGGAGCGAAGGAGTATTGGGACCAACCTACGATGGAGACGGAAAAGCGTTGTCAGAGTTGGAGATGCAGAAATCTGCACAGAAGCTAAAGAGCGAAGAGAAGGAGAAAGTACGAGTGGAAGCAGAACCGTACAAACCCTCAGAAGAAGAGCGACTTGCTCACGAAGCAACACACCTACCTTTTGCTCATTGGTGTGAGTCATGCGTAGAAGCCAAGAGTAAGCAGGATCACGAAAACAAGAACCCAGAGGCAGGAAAGGACTCAGTGGGAGTACCTTATCCCATCATTCAGCTGGACTTCATGTTCCTACAAGGAAAGGACACACCAGCATTGGTTGGAATTTGTTCGTGGACGCGGATGTCAGTTGTGATCCCAGTATCTGGAAAGCAGACCGAAAGGAAGACAGTGGAGAAAGTGTTGAAATGGGTACACAGTCTTGGACACTTGGAGGAAGTAGGATTTGTTGGAGATTCGGAAGAGGCAATGTTGTCTCTAATAGCTGCAATCGTGGAAACTCGGAGAAAGATGAACCGGAAGACTCACGATCAGAACAACAAGCCGTACCAGAAAGGAAGAACGGCTAGAGTGGAAAGGTTTATCCAGACGGTGAGGAACCAAACGGTATGCTTGGTACGAGCGGCCGAAAGAAAGCTTGGTATATAGATGATCGAAGGCCATGCAGTGTGGGCCTGGGGACTCTGCCATGCGTCATGGTTGCTGAACAGGTACCACAGACACGCCGCGATAGGTTCAACCCCTTATGAAAGTGTTGTTGGTAGACCTTACCTTGGGAAGATCGCCCCATTTGGCGAGTATGTGTATGAGCTGAAGAAACCCGAGAAGAAAGGAACAGCGAACTGGATTGGAGGAATTTACTTCGGTAAGAACTCCCAGGATATGCACTTGGTAGGAGTTGAAGACGGAGTCTTGGCTACAGGATCGGTAAGACGAATTGCCACTGGATGGAGAAAGGAACCTATGCTGAAGCTTAGTGTAACTCCATGGAACCCCAAGAAACCAAAGGGAACATTCAGTAAACAGCCGTTACCAGCCCCAGCGTTGGCAAGTATCACGGAAGAAGGAACGGCGCAGGAACCAGTAGTTCGGACAGAAGATCGAGGACAGTCCCAAGAAGAACAGGTAGAAGAACTATTGGATATGCTGGACACGAGTGGAGCCTCAAGCGGAGGCAGGGCCTCAGACGGAGGCAGGGCCAGCACAGGATCGAGTTCTCATTCCCGGAGTTCAAGTTCGATGCACGACGTACCTTCTGGAGAACCCGAAGGAGAAGGACGTGTGAGCGACGAGACCATGCTGGAGGATTTGCGGAAGCGACCAGTAGAAGGAGGACAAGGAGTTGAAGGATCGCCAAAGAAGTCTCGTGAAGAGCCATCAGCACCCTCATCACCCTCAAAAGGAATCTACCCGCCTTTGTTCGCAGGCAGGGTATCTCAGGAAGAAGACCCATTGCATTGGGATGAACATGAGGACCTGACAGCGGTATAAGGAGAAGACGTGGAGTACGAAGATCTCATGGAAGAAGAGATGGAGGAAGTTCCAAAGAATGACCAAGGAGAGACGCCACCAGAATTGAGTCCGGAAGAATTGGACGCCTTGGATCAAGAAGCAGCAGTGGAAGAACTCAATCGCCTTAGCAAGCTAGGAGTAATCGAGGAATTTATGGAGGCGAATGCGACAGGAGATGAGAAGCGCATGGATCTGCGCGAGGTGTATGATTGGAGGCACAGAGATGGCAGGTGGAAGAGAAGATGCAGGATTGTCGCGAGAGAATACCGTGCTGGAGCAAGCTCGACTGCGGAGACGTTCTCGCCGACGGCGAGCAACGCCGCGTCGCGCTTAGGCTTAGTCTTGCTGTTGCACCTAGTATATCAGTGGGTCGTTGTAGTACTAGATATAAAGGACGCGTACCTTCAGGTTCCCCAACAAGAAGAGGTACTGATCACAATCAGCGACTGGATGAAACGTGCAGCAAATCTGCAAGAAGGAGTTGTCTGGAGGCTGAAGAGATGCCTACCAGGACAGAGGAACGCAGCAACAAGATGGTATGAACACTTGCGGAGTATATTGGAGAAACTTGGATTTGTATTCTCAGTACATGTACCCGCACTAGCTAGACACACCACAAGGAAGCTGTGTATCTCTATCCATGTAGACGACGAGTTGCTAGCAGGAGAAAGGGAAGAAACCATTTGGTTAGTGGAAGAACTGGAGAAGGTTTTCAAGGTGGAGAAAGAAGGACCGTATCCCACAAATGGAGTAGGAAGTGGAGAAGAAATGCGGTATCTCAAAAGGAAGTATGTCTTCACCCCGGAAGGAATAGTTGTCCAACCGAATGAGAAGTATGTTCGGAAGCTCTTCGAGTTGTATGACCTTGGAAGGTTGAAGAGTAAGGCCACACCAGAGCACGTGGATCTGGTGAAGGAAGACCGGAGTAAGGAGTTGAGTGCTGAGGAGACAAAACGGTTTAGATCTGGACTTGGATCTATTTTGTACCTTGCACAGGACAGAATTGACATTCAGTATGCCTCAAAGTGTTTGGCATCAAGCATGTCGAAGCCGACAGTGCAGGCACTAAAGTGTCTGAAGCACTTGATTCTGTATCTGAGTGGAACAGCCACAAGGGCTACCCTGTTACCGTATACCGAAATCGGAAGCCGGTTGATTACGAAGTTGAATGGCCAAGAGGATGAAGAAATCGTCAAGGACTCAGGACATGTTGTGGAAGCGTATTCGGACAGTGAAGAGTTACGACCGTACGAAAGCGGAAGAATCCACTGGAAAGGAAGCGGATGAACCCCGTGGATCAGGAGAGACAATGCACGAGTGGAACACCGGAGTGCAGCGAAGTGGCACTGGAAAAGGAACGCTGAAGAGACGTGGAAGAGCAGCGATGGGAACACCAGCAATTGTACATACGGATGGAGTTCGTATGCCCATCATAAGTGAGGAAGACTACCGACGTGGTGGAAGAATCACCTCTGGAAGAACCACGCAGGATTCGGAGATGATCGAGTTTCGTGGAAAGATGGTAACCATGGAAGAAATGGGAAACATGGTAATGCCAGAACAGTGCCAAGAGTCGTACGAAGCGTACTGCGAACGTGCCAAGGAAGAAGAAGAAAACAAAGAACAGGATGTGGATCCCGGTACACCAGATAGTACGGAAATGCGTACTGAGGGACCCCTCGCCTGAAGAGGACGGTCACCTGAAAATCCGTAAGACCTACATCGGGTTCGAGTATGAGGACCAGCAGTGAGTGTAGGCCGGAGACAGAAAGAAAAGTTTCACCCTGGAACGCCACAGCGGAAAGCTCAAAAGAAGAAGGAGCGCTGTAGCGAGTTTGTTGTGAGCGGTTTCACTAGGACGAAGTACTTGTTACTCCACGAATGTCAGGACATGGACGGTCTGACACACCTCCTTAATTGGGGGACTGTAAAAAGGTGGGTTGCACGGACTGTTTAACCCAGGACTTGCAACGGCAAAGCCTATGCAGTCAAGGGCGGAGGTATGCCCGACCGCAGACCGAAATGCGAGTACAGCACAAGGACTTCGAGGCAGGGTGTTAAATCTTGTACATAGGAACGCCCACAACTTTGGTGAGCCTAGGCTACGGCATATGAAATGTATAGAATGACTATGCAGCGCCTTTGGCTTAAGCAGGAAAAGCGCGAACGCTCAGTGTCTTACAGTTTAACTCGGTGGCATGCGGTGGCGGTGGTGGTGAGTGCTAGTGGTGTGCTGTTTGTGTCGGTGCGCTGTTGTTCATGACGATGAGCATCTGCTTGTCGGCGTCGAAGGTTTGATGGCCTGGCCGGACCACGTGGAATTCAGAGGGCTTCGCAACGAATCAGCACGAGGGCGGTTGAATGAAATTTGCGCAAACTCTTCTTTCAGAGTTCCTCGCTTTGCATTCAGGTTCTAGGATTGAGGGGCCAAGCTGTAAATCTATATCGATCACCACGGAAACACTGTACATGATGCAAGGTGCCACGCACGGAAACGGGTCAGTTGGATTTGGCGGCTGGGGCCTTCGGATTTGCAGGTTTCCTGCAAGATGGGCTCTGTGGAATTGCTCGGGGGGTGTAATGTCGGATTTGAGCTGCCTGGCTTCGCACTGGCCACGCAACTATTGTGTGTGGGTTCGATTCGGCTCGATCGGTCAAGGTCACATCAAGCCCAACATCCGCGCACCTTTGCCTGTGGAGGATCGTGCGGAGGTGGCCCTGGACCCAGATCGCTTCGATAGCGCCGAGGCGGATTGTTTTCCACTTGTCGTGCCATGGGCCGATAGTTTGAGGCGTGCATGTTCATGGGTGCAAGGTTGTTTCAGGCCGGCTTTCGGAAAACTTTTCCGAGGAGAGAAAAGGATGAAACAAATGCTGCACATGCGGCCGAGAGTCGGGCATTTCCGGGGCGAGACAGCATAACGGAATCGATATTGCAACTTCATGTGATCGTTGTGGGATGTCTATATAACCATATGTTAGTTGTGAATTTGTAGACGGGAAGCGACCGCTATTGGGATGCTGCCTCTCCGCTAGTACAAGGCGTGGGGTACGATCCGGGGAAGCGCATAGAATAAAAAAATCACCCAACACACTCGACAGAAGCCCTTGCTGCCACAACAAGTACGCCACTTGGTGTGGAAACCTTTGTGGCAGTGCTGCAAACAGCACCAATCTGCAATGTTGCCGAAACAGAGAGAGACCGAAAGTATAAACATCAACAGCGCCGCAATTCTCGCACCCCCAAGACAAAAAACTGCAACCACGACGTCGACTCGGTGGGTATTGGTAGTCAGACACGAGGAGAACTTTGCACAAATCGTGAATGGAAGGAAGTGCAAATTGTGGAAGGCTCGTAAACGCGGAGAGCCAGCAAAACCACGGCGCAAAGATTGTTTGCAGATGGTCCGACAGTGGCGTATATAAATACAAAGGAATTTGCATGTGTAGAGTTGAAGGATACGTTCTTGACGCCCACGTGCCGTCGCCAACGACCCGGGCCAGCTGAAAAGTGTAATACCTGCCGTGGCAGCGAAAAAAAGGGTAGCCTTGTTTTTTCTACAGCAGAACTTTTCGGTGGTGCAGGTACAGACTGCTTTTTGCTCGGCTTGTTGAAAAGATACGATCTACTAAAGGGATATCTTAACCGAAATCGTAAAAAAGCAAGGATGCCATCGGCTTAGGGATGAATGCCGATTCCCGAACGGGATCGCAGATGTCGTGTCAAGAGCAGCATGTTGGGGTGGTTTAGTGTTGTGAGACATACTGAGGCTACAAGCAGGAATCAGTCATTCATGCTGCAAGCTTCGCTGCTGGATTTGATGCTGTGGACAGGGATTTGGAGATTTCGATACCGGGGCCTACAGGAGACTGCTTGCGGAGTTTCGGTGTGTGGGAGCTCCAGCACTCATCGGCACCACCGCTGCAGCTGCGACAGCAACATGAGCAAGAAGGGACGATGGGCTATTGGTAGTTTCCAGTAGGTACTGTTACAAGATTTTTTGGCCTTAATTACAGGAAACTGGGCTTTGTTGCCCATAGGTTGGCGGGCGAAGCTGAAATCCTGACCTTTCCAGTAGCACATGAAGCTTTGCATCTCATTGGCAGCCCGCTTCCAACAGGAAGTCAGAGAGATCACGGAGGACATGCATTCCAGGTTTGTCCTTTTTGCACAGGGCTCCGTACCAATCGGAATCCTCAGTTTGGCAGATCTTACTTTGCAGTCTTTCGGAAGGGGGTTTTGAGAGGCATGAACCTTGAAAGTCCGAGCTCAATTCTGTTGCGGAGTTGATGTGAATTTCAGAAAGGCAGTGCTTCCCAGGAATGTTGCGAGTCTAGTGTTTGTGAAGAAGGAGATGTTGACGGCGACGGATCTTGAACCGTGAGGTTGTAATGGCTCGTCGCTTTCAGCCGCATCTGGAGCACAAGGCCGAGACGATTCCAAGCATCAAGCGAGTGACTCAACAAGTCAAAGTGAATCCGGCAAGGAAGCCGTGCGCCGTGGCCTTCGGAGACTGTGTGGCCACTCTGGTTGATTGAAATTCAACCATTCAACTGAAGCTTCAACCCGACTAACTGCTCAAGTCCAAACGCCAGCTTCTCGACGCTGCTTCGTTTCCGTGAACACGTGAGGAAGAAGCCTAGGTCTTGCATGCGAAAACATATCCGCTGACAGTATGCTCTGCTTGGAATTACCTACGAAGACGGATGTTACCGGAAGCCTGGAAGCAAGGATGAACTGGTCGCAGATGCACGGTGTCTCATGCTCGGAAAGGAAGATCGGGTCAGGGCAAAAGCACACAACGGAGCCCAAATGCAGGTCCTGACATTGATGCCATCAGTTTGAGATGATGCCATCTCTAGCATGCCGAATCTGGTGAAGAGTTGTGGCAGGAGGAGGCCATGGCTGCATCTGCCAAAGTAATGCTGCAGGCCTCCCGGGGTTCGGAATCTTCCCAGCACATGTTTGTTGTTTTGTTGTTCGTGTGTGTGTGTGTGTGTGCAACTCCTGTCTCCAAGGATTTTGAGTCGTAACATTCTCGGTAACATTAATTTTGAAGAAATGCAGGGGGCTGGCAGCCTATTCCGTGATGCCAGCCAACGAAGCTAGCGGAATGGGTGGAAGGAGCTATGGACGCATAGCCCTGTACCTGCAGTTTCACTCGCCGATCGGTTTGCATCTTCAGTCTTATGAGCCTTGAGTCCAAAACATTCAATTGTATCGCTCATCTAATGTATGTATGTCTTTGAGATGAACCTGGAACAAAAGAAGATTTCTGAGGCCTTGGTATTCGAACTCAAGATAATCTAGATATGAAGATTTTGCAGCTGATACAAGAAGTATCCACAGGAAGTGTGAAAGAAGAAACACTACGAGACAACCGGCAGAGACCGGATTTCCATGTGTGTTGTTCGGCTGGTAATTCTGACAAAGGGCCAGTCGTGATGGTTGCAGCTGCGGCCCCTCCAAGCATACCCAGGACATCCGAATTATACGCAAATGAAGAGATTCATCTCTGGTTTGCAACCAGACTACTTTGCAAAGACCCAATGCTCTTTAAAGGCTAACGCAATCCCAGGTATACCCCTGCCAGAAAGCACCCAAGCATCTCTGATATGTCTGTTCGCAGGTGTATCAGACTATTGTGTCATAGCATACCCAAGAATTCCCAAGTATACCCAAGGTCATTCATTGCGAATGATCACCCAAAGCAGACCCATTGTGTCGATAGTTTTCTGCTGAGCAGTCCCAAAGCTGATCCAACGCTTTATGCGATCCGAATTTTACCCAAGCTGATGATGACATCCGAATTATGCCCAAGCTGAAGATGATGATTCGTCCGTTCGCCATAAGAAGCACCCAGCGTCCGTAGGCCTTCAAGGCCTGTGCGTTTGTAGTGTAGTTGAAGTAGATGTTCCAAGAGTAATTTTAGCCTGCATCATCATTAAAAAATTTGTAGCTTTCGCGACTAGGTTTCGATCGCCACCCAAAGCTGATCCAGCATACGTATAATTTCGTTTCGTATCATCTTATTTCCATTAAAAGCATTCGTGCTCAAGAGGAAGAACGGCGAGATCAAGAGGAAGCAAGGCGAGATGAAGCAATCCAAAGCATACCCAAGCTGCTGATGATGATTCGTCTCGTTTCGCCACCCAACAAGCACCCAGCGTACGTTTCGTGTGTAGTTTACCTTTTAATATGCAAACACTTTACCAGTTCATCATTCTTGATAACTGTAGGCTCGTGGTAGCTTTCGTTCGCCACCCAAGGCTGATCCAGCATCCGTGAGATCCTCGTTTCGTGACATCTTAGTTTCATCTAAAACATTTGTGATCAGCGGTGAAAGATTAAGGACGAAGACAGGTAGAAGGTCTCTCGTAGTTGCGGTTAGTTGATTTGGCTGTTTCTTTGGACTTTGGTGGTTTCTTTCAGTCTCTACGTAACAGCAACCACTCAGAACGAGTCGCTTTAAGTGACAAGGATTGCATTTCACAAGTGAACATTCGTTCTACGTGGATTAAGTAGAGGCTTTGAGCATAAAGTGCCGTTTTTAGCGTTCAGTTTTTTGGATGGCTTCTAATCTACATGTAAGTAACGCTTTCTTGTCTAGTTGCTTTGTTTGATAACTAGTTCTGCTGGGATCGTGTGTGTGCAACTCCTGTGTTCAAGGAGTTTGAGTCGTAACCTTCTTTGCAAGATTGTATCTGAAGAAAAGCAGAGGACCATGTAGCGGCAATGTTTCGTCTTCTGTTATACAGCGCTTGCACATACGAGGATATTCAGGCTTGAGATCCAATTACAAATGAAGTCGAGGAGCTGCACAGTTGTATTGCATCTACAAAGTCTTGCGAAGTGCAGTGTGGGTGCAAAGGTTTCTTCAGGCCCAGCGATTATCAATTTATTAAGAACTTTCCGACGACGACAAAAGACAATGGCAATGCGTTACGGAGCGGTTAGAACCTCTTGAAAGCCCAAGCTTTAGCCAAGTTGCAGCTAAAGTATTTTCATCCAGCCTGCAGCTCAAAGCTTATAAGGCCCAAGCTTTTACCGAGTTGTTTGTAGGGCTGCCAGAGGCCTTTGTGCCCTAAGATCTTACAGTGCGCAAGATCCAAACCGTCGTTATGTTGTTGTAGAGCTACCAGAAGACCAGAGCTTTAGCCAAGTGTCGTGCAGAGCAACTAAAGCGTCTTGCTTCTAAAGACTTTTTCGTTTACATGTAAAGCTAGAACCATGTGCCGGCAACGTTTCACCTTCTGTTATACAGCGTCTGCACATACGAAGATACCCAGGCTTGAGATCCAATTACAGACTCAGTTGATAACCTAATCAGTTGTATTGCATCTACAAAGTCTTCCGAAGTGTAGTGTGGATGCAAAGGTTTCTTCAGGCCCAACGAATAGTAGTTTACTAAGAACGTTGCGACGACGAAAAAAAAAGCGACGACACAACATAATGGGAATGCGTTGCAGAGCAGTTAGAGCTTCTTGAAAGCCCAGGCTTTAGTCAATTTGTTGCTAACACACTTCCGTTTTACCTGCAACCAAGTTTGTGGTTGAGCAGTTAGACTCTTCTGCTTTCAAAGGGTTCAACACTCACAAGACCTAAGTTCTCACCAAAAAAGCGCTGAGACAAGACAATCACAATACGATGCAGGGTGGTTGGAGTTTTGTAGCGTTTTGCTTTGAAGAGCTTTTTGTGCAAATGTAAGGCCAGATGTGGCGGCAATGTTTCACCTTCTGTTATACAGCGCTTGCACATACGAAGATACTCAGGCTTGAGACCCAAATACAAATTCAGTTGAGGAGCTGAACAGTTGTATTTCACCTACAGAGTCTTCCGAAGTGCAGTGTGATTGCAAAGGTTTCTTCTGGCCTAACGACTATTAGTTTATGAAGAACATTACGACAACGACAAAAGCGATGACAAAAAGACAAAAGACATTGGCAATGCGTTGCACAACAGTTAGAACATCTTGAATGCCCAAGCTTTAGCCAAGCTTTAGCCAAGTTGCAACAAAAGTACTTTCATCCAGCCTGCAGCTCAAAGCTCATAAGACCCAAGCTTTTACCAAGTTGTTCGTAGAGTTGCCACAGGCTTTTGTTTCTAAAGATCTTACGGTGCAGCACAAGGTCCAAGCTGTCGCTATGTTGCTGTAGAGCTGCCAGAAAACCAGAGCTTTAGCCAAGTGTCGTGCAGAGTAACCAAAGCGTCTTGCTTCGACAGAGATTTTTGTTTACATGTAAAGCTGAAATCATGTGCCGACAATGTTTCACCTTTTGTTATACAGCGTCTGCACATGCGAAGATACCCAGGCTTGAGATCCCATTACAAGTTAAGTTGAGGAGCTGAACAGTTTTAGTGCATCTGCAAAGTCTTACACAGTGCTGTGTCCTTAAAAGGTTTCTCCAGGTTCAACAAGTCTCCGTTTATGACGAACATTACAACGACGACAAAATCGACGACAAAACATGATGGCAATGTGATGTAGAGCAATTAGATCCTCTTGAAAGCCCAAGGTTTAGCCAAGTTGGAGTTAAAACGCTTTCATTTAACCTGCAGCCAAGTTTGTGGTTGAGCAGTTAGAGTCTCCTGCTTCCAAAGGGCTTAACAGTCACAAGACCTAAATTTTCACCAGAAGCGTCGAAACAAGACAATGACAGTGCGATGTAGAGTGGTTAGAGCTTGTTACCGTCTTGCCTTGAAAGAGCTTATTGTGTACATGTAAAGTTGGAACCATGTGGCGGCAATGTTTCACCTTCTGTTACACAGCGCTTGCACATACGAAGATACTCAGGCTTGAGATCCAATTACAAATTCAGTTGAGGAGCTGAACAGTTGTATTGCATTTACAAAGCGATGTAGAGCGATTAGATTCTCTTGAAAGTCCAAGCCTCGGCCAAGTTGGAGAAAAACTCACATTTAAGCTGCAACCAACTTTGTGGTTGAACATTTGGGGTCTTTTGCTTCCAAAGGGCTTAACACTCACAAGACCTAAGTTCTCATCGAAAGCGTTGACACAAGACAAAGACAGTGCGAAGTAGAGTGGTTAGAGCTTTCCTAGCATCTTGCTTTGAAAGAGCTTATGGTGTACATGTAAAGCCGAAACCATGTGGCAGCAACGTTTCACCTTCTGTTATACAGCGCTTGCACATACGAAGATACTCAGGCTTGAGATCCAATTACAAATTAAGTTGAGGAGCTAAACAGTTGTATTGCATCTACAAAGTCTTCCCAAGTGCAGTATGGACGCAAAGGTTTCTTCAGGCCCAACGAATATTTTTTTAAGAACATCTCGACGACGACAAAAGCGACGAAAAAAGACAATGGCAATGCGTTTCAGAGTTGTTAGCTGAACAATTGTATTGCACCTACAAAGTCTTACACAGTGCTGTGTCATGAAAAGGTTTCTTTAGGCTCAACAAGTCTCAGTTTATGACGAACATTACAACGACGACAAAATCGACGACAAAACATGATGGCAATGTGATGTAGAGCAATTAGATCCTCTTGAAAGCCCAAGGTTTAGCCAAGTTGGAGTTAAAACGCTTTCATTTAACCTGCAGCCAAGTTTGTGGTTGAGCAGTTAGAGTCTCCTGCTTCCAAAATGGCTTAACAGTCACAAGACCTAAATTTTCACCAGAAGCGTCGAAACAAGACAATGACAGTGCGATGTAGAGTGGTTAGAGTTTTTTAGCGTCTTGCTTTGAAAGAGCTTATTGTGTACATGTAAAACTGGAACCATGTGGCGGCAATGTTTCACCTTCTGTTATACAGCGCTTGCACATACGAAGATACTCAGGCTTGAGATCCAATTGCAAATTAAGTTGAGGAGCGGAGCAGTTGTATTGCATTTACAAAGTCTTTCGGGGAGCAGTGTTGATGCAAAGGTTTCTTCAGGCCCAACGAATAGTAGTTCACTAAGAACATTACCACCACGACGACAAAAGCGACGACAAAAGACAATGACAATACGGTTCAATTGAATTAGCTGAACAATTGTATTGCATCTACAAAGTCTTACACAGTGTTGCGTCCTGAAAAGGTTTCGTCAGGCTCAATATGTATCAGCTCATTGCGAACATTACGACGACGACAAAAGCGACGACAAAAGACAATGGCAATGCGAAATAGAGTAATTAGAGCCGCAGAGAAGCTGTTGTAATTGAATTGGCAAGTCGCTGGTGTTGTCTTGTGGCTGTTGTTCATTCGGATTGCATCTTAAAAGTCCATGCATAGCAACTTCTGAGGTCCAAATTTTCGCTAAGTTGCTGCAGAGCTGCCAAGAGACCAGAGCCTCAGCCAAGTGTCGTACAGAGCAGCTGAAGAGCCTTGCTTCTAAAGAGTTTTTGTTTACATGTAAAGCTGCAGCCATGTGGCAGCAATGTTTCACCTTCTGTTGCACAGCGTCTGCACATACGAAGATACTCAGGCTTGAGATCCAATTACAAATTAACTTGATGAGCTGAACAGTTGCATTGCATCTACAAAGTTCACGCTGCAGTGTGGATGCAAAGGTTTCTTCAGGCCCAACGACTATCAGTTTATTAAAAACACTACGACGACGACAAAAAGCTTCTTGAAGACACAAGCTTCCGACAAGTTGTAGCTAAAACGCTGTCACCCAATTCCATCTTTAAAATTTTTGACACATAATGTTGTGTGGCGGTAAAGGTTTCTTAAGGCTCACAAAATACCAACTTATGAAGAAACTTCCAACGACGACAAAAGAGACGACAAAAGGCAAAGGCCCAAGTAGATGTTAAGGCGCCCCTAACGTGACTAAAGCTCGTATTGCATCTACAAATTCTTGCACAGTACAGTGTAGCTGTCATCTTCTTTGAGGTTCAACAAGTATTAGTTTATCAAGAACATGACGACGATGACAAAAGAGACGACAAAGACAATGGCATTGTGAAGCAGAGCACTTGAAGCCTCTTGCTTTCAGAGAGGTGAAAGATTCAAGAGCAAATCGAGAATGGGAAGAGGTGCAAGATATTGTGCAAAGATGCTGAGACTGAATTTCGATCATAAAGATTTTGCCCAGGTATATGAGGGATCACCACTGGCTGTTCATCAGATTCAGGTTGCGCCTTTCAACTTTCAACTTGTCTAGTCGTTCTATTTGATAACCGGCTCTACCGTGGCCGTGTGTGTGCAACTCCTGTCTCCAAGGAATTTGAGTCGTAACATTCTCGGTAACATTAATTTTGCAGAAATATTCCGTGATGCCAGCCAACGAAGCTAGCGGAATGGGTGGAAGGAGCTATGGACGCATAGCCCTGTACCTGCAGTTTCACTCGCCGATCTGTTTGCATCTTCAGTCTTATGAGCCTTGAGTCCAAAACATTCAATTGTATCGCTCATCTATTGCATGTATGTCTTTGAGATGAACCTGGAACAAAAGAAGATTTCTGAGGCCTTGGTATTCGAACTCAAGATAATCTAGGTATGAAGATTTTGCAGCTGATACAAGAAGTATTGACAGGAAGTGTGAAAGAAGAAACACTACGATTACGAGACAACCAGCAGAGACCGGATTTCCATGTGTGTGTGTGTGTGTCTGTGTGTGTGTGTGTGTCTGTGTGTGTGTGTGTTTTGTGTGCGTCTGTGTGCGTGTGTGTGCGTACTGTAAGGGTTTCAAACCTCCGGCATCAGTCTGGTACCTCGTAGTTGGACTTTCGGCAGCACCAGCTCGAAGTCGAATGGCTACCCGTAAGTCCGCAAAGCCTGGTCATACAAGGCAATGCTACCCACAATCCACTTGTGACTCCGAGTTTCATGATGACTTGAGCTCGGCTCTGCTCCGCAAGATCGGGTTGGAGGTGCCCGCCCAGTTCCTGAAATAACATCCACGGAGCTTGCGGTACTCAGCTGTGGCTTTTTAACCTTTGCGCTGCAGCCGTCAGTTTGCGGCTGTAGTTAATCCTTCCAACTCTCCAAGCGGTCATCTTGGTTATCTAACTGACCGGACGTCCGACCCCCTAAAATAGGCCTGCTACACATCTGCATTCTGTAGAAGATGCAGCCAGTCGTACGCCTTTACCGTCGTTCATGGCTCAAGAAAACTGTGTGTGCACGTTCTGGCTGTTCTGCCTGTAAACCTAGGTTATCAGCCGTAGGTCGGATTTTCGTTCGTAAAAGTCGCAATAGACGCCGCCGCGAAGACACCGAGGAAATCGCTTCGTTTCCTGCCATGTCCGTCCAAGACGACGGCACGGATGCGAGTGCGATCGGTCCCCGGCAGGGTGGCCAGGTTGTGCCGTTGACGGCCGAAGCCCTGGCAGTAATGGGCCTTCATGATCCCAGAAGAAACGCGATGGGTGCTGTGTCAGAACGGGCCTATGTGAACAGTCCATCTCAGCACCGCGCATCCCTAGCGGGATCGCCGCGACAAATCAATTCAGCCCAGTATTCCCCTCGCCGGATCTCAACATTGCGAACTACTACCAGCAGCAAGTTTAGCGCCAACATTGAATCAGCAGGTAGTCCTTCAGAAGACTGATACGGGACCTGCTATTGCCGTAGAAGCCGAAGCTCGCCATTCAGGAATCATGAGCGAAACCAAGTCTCAACATAGAGAACATATTAATCAGCTTCAGGCACAGGCAGTTTCAAGCGCTACCCAACTAAGTTTGGAGTTTCTTCAAGTGGAGAATCGTCTCCAGCAACAGGAGGAAGCCCTTCAATCAGCCGGCGAGAGCTTGGCTAATAAACACAGGGAAGCCATGGACTACAAGATCAGGCTTCACCGTGCAGAGGCCACCGTCTCCGATGTTGTGACACAAGCCGAGCGTGAGTTGGCTAACCGAGCCACAGCCAATCAGCGCACGGTAGCTAACGTGGAGCTCCATCAGCTCAGGTCTGAAATCGGCGCTTTCGTCCAAGCCCATCGATAGCAAATTGGAACTGTGTCGAGGCTCGAAAAAGCAAATCTAGAGCTTCGAAGCCGCCAGAGGGAAGCTGCGGCACACACACCCGCTCTTGCGGGTGTGGCTTCACCTACCGTTCAGCCGATACACACTCCTTCGGGATTGCGGCAGGGTGGTGGAGGCCCGCCAGATGGTGATGACAACCGCATGAAGAAGAAAAATGATAAGAAGAAGAAAACGACAAGAGACTCAGCTTTTCTTCTTTATCATCCATCTGTTTTTCAAGGATCTGTTGAAGATGCTTAAGAAGGTCACGAAGTCGAAGAAGGACAAGGATGACGATGAGGACGGTGAAGCAGCTCGCGGTAGATCAAAGGTGAAGGAGGCAGAAAAGATAACCTTCCCGACATTTCCGCAACCGGAAAATTACCGGAGTCGGAGGCTTCGTTCCCGCGAAGCTGTTGTTGCCGCCTCAGATCGTCCTGACGAAGCCTTCGAATGGCTTAGGGAGGTATGCAAGGAACGACAACCGAAGAAGGCCTTCGTGATCCTAGGGGATTCGCAATGCTTGACGCCAACAGTCTCTCCGCCATCACACTTTCAGAGAGAGAGAGAGAGAGAGAGAGAGAGAGAGAGACAGAGACAGAGACAGAGACAGAGACAGAGACAGAGACAGAGACAGAGAGAAGAGAGAGAGAGAGAGAGACAGAGAGACAGAGAGACAGAGAGACAGAGAGACAGAGAGACAGAGAGACAGAGAGACAGAGAGACAGAGAGACAGAGAGACAGAGAGACAGAGAGACAGAGAGACAGGCAGAAGCTCAAAAGAAGGAAGAGCGCCAGCGTTGTTTCACTAGGACGACGTACTTGTTACTGTACGAACGTCAGGATATGGACGGTCTGACAAACCCCATAATTGGGGGCAGGTCAAAAGGTGGGTTGCATGGAGTGTTTAACCCAGGAGCTGTGGAGGCAAAGCCTATACAGCCAGGGCAGGAGGTTTGCCCGACCGCGGACCGTTGCAGCAGTACAGCACAAGGACTTCGAGGCAGGGTGTTAAGATTTGTACATAGAACGCCCACACCTTTGGAGAGGCTAGGCTACGGCACATAGAATGTATAGAATTATAGAATGACTATGCAGCGCCTTTGGCTTAAGCCTTAAGCAGGAAAAGCGTGAACGCTCAGGGTCTCACAGTTTAACTGTTTGGCATCTCTTTCGACACACAACGTCAGCGACCCAGAGGTCCGCATGCGTGAAGCTGCGGCTGGTTTTCTTCGAGGAGCTCCGCACGGCTGGGTTGCTCTATTCGCATCTCCGGCTCGGCCACGACGCCGCTGGGCAGATCATCGACCGAGCACTCGCCCGCCTAGCGGAGTGGCATCGTGCTGTGTTTGCGGCTATTTCAGAGTGCTTGATGCACCCAACGTCAGTGATCAATATAATCCCGACAGGAATTTGCACGGCTCTACTTGCCTTGCCACTTCACACGTTCAATGATTTTTGTCGGGCTGGGAGCACGAGACCTACAACTATCGTACGGGTCGGCGAGATCGCATTCCCATTTTCTTTTCGTGGCTTTTAGCGCCGGAGCATGATCCACCTCCCTAATGGGATGGTATTCTGAAAACTTGAATACCGTCTCATGAGACGCGAAGAGAAATTTAAGTCTTATAACGGGTTGGTAGCATGATTGATCCATTGCTGAGGGCGTAAAACATGGCAATGCGTGAACAAGCCATCCCTCAGCCAGGTCGTGCGGTGGTTTGACGACCCCAGCCTGGAAGCGGAGCTTGGTCTCCACCTGTAGAAAGCTTCAATCGGCAGCCCGGCTCCCTTTCAGGTTGAGATTGGGTTGTGGGAAAAGATTCGAAAGGAAGAGGCATGGAATTCAGGTCGCGAGATGCCAGATATGGCTGTAATGCGGTGGAGGGCGCAGCTCCTCTTCCCAAAACGTATGGAAGTGCATTGGACGGCATATGCGGCATGCAGAGTCTAGGATTCTTGCATTTTCCTGACAAGTTGGTGGACTTCACATATACCCCCTACGCAGAACCTGTTCGGCTCTTGTTGTGTTGTTGGGTGGACTCCAACCCTGTGACATCCGATAGGACATCCAAAATGCCTCAGTTCGTAAACCCTGAATGTGTAAAGTGTCAACCTTCCAAGACCCGGGCTTCCCGACAACCATGGGAACTGTTCCAAGGTTCATTCTCACGGACCCTGCTTGGGTGCCGGTCATGGCGTGCACTGCAGCTGCTCATGCGGGCTTCGGTTTCAAGCTGTAGACTGCGAGTGCCAATCGCACCTTTTAGTATTTCGGCTTTGGAGTTGCAGAGCAGGAGTGTTTGCTGGAAACGCATTGATTCGTTTTCATGGTGTTTCAATCAGCTCTGTTCTCCGAAGCGGGCTTACCTGCCAACCCGCCACGGAACCACCCGGTCCACCCGCTCCCACACTCCACACCCAGACACCCGCCGCCAACCACCCCCACCCACCACCCACCCCAACCCACCCAGCAGGCAGGTCGAATCGGCTGTGTTGTTGTGGGACAGAAGTCGGCAGCACTGTAGAGTTCGCCTGCTAGGCCGAGGCTGCTATGTGCACGATTTTTTCATGTCATCTCTGGCCCATGGCATTGGCCGACGAAGCCAGCTGAGTATCCAAATCATGGGCACACGCGTCATTCAGTCATAGCCACTTTCAAAAGCAAGAGCGGGCTTCTTTCATCTCAAAGCTTTGACTCCTTTGAGAATTTGATGTTTTAAGCATTTTGGTAGCTTCAAGGATACAGAATGATTGACTTGAGACGTTGGATGTTACAGTTAGGGACAGGTGCGTGTTTGTGTTTTTTTTGTTTTCCGGGTTGTTGGTGCATGCCATTGTCTTGTCTGCTTGGCCTTGAACTTTCATGTGAACCCTAGGCTGGTATTCTTTGCCCCTTTTTGTTTCTTTACGTAGGCTCAGCCAGAGCCAACAAGTATACTTATTTCAGCTTTGAACCTAAAGCCCCACATCACCAAAGCTCTGTGCCGCGCACGGATTTGTGACAGCGGGGTTCAGAACAGATCCGGAGAGCTGGCAGTTGGGATTTGGCGGCTGAGACAAGGCAAACCAAGCAGCAGGTTTCGTCCTCGTTCCGGGCATGTTTAGCCTATAGCAGGCAGGAGTGACAACCCGAAGCGATTGAAGTAAACCCTGAACATGCGCACAAGTTGTTTACAACTGCCGTGGATAGACTCTTTTGCATCATAATGGTTGCTGAACGACATGACTCATGCTATTCAATGCTCTTCTAATGTTGCGCCTGAGAGCTTGTCTTTTTGCAGGCAGGGTGTGCGTGAAAAGCCCTGGGTCCCTGAGTGAAGATTTCTAAGTCTAGAGTCAGTCAGAGCTCTCAGACCCAGCTGGGGCGAGTTTTTCTCTAGTCTGGCTCCCAGTGTCCAAGCCCAAACTCGATTGGTCTACGAAACATGCGTGGCTCCCAGAAATTCGGAAACCGCCACAGCATGACTGAGAGGGGCTTCCGGGGAACAGTTTCCCGTAGTCACTCCAGTTGATGTGCACCGGGTAGAAATCTTAAACTCCCGAGGTCTTGCCGTAATCCAGCCGGCCTCTAGAGTTGCAAGGTTCTGATAGGGTTGGTGCATTGCAGGTGGTCGAATCGGTGGAACGTCGCTGGAAACCGCAGGAAGCCTCCTCTCCGACATGCAATCGGAAAGCATTCCATTCCAGGTCTTGGGCGATTTTGAAGCTCTGAAATCTTCAACACAACAGAAGATGAAAGGATCCAACTTCGGTCGCAAAGCAGGCCGAATGCTTGGGTCCTTAAATGCTCACTTGTCTTGCATTCAGGTTTGACATACAACGCCAGCAATCCCGAAACCTAGAGACTTGAACCAGCATCCAATATGCCGACTCCATCCCTGACGCAACAAGAGAATTCAGGCTTCATAATCGCTTCGAGGGTTCGTGGAGAGCCGGGCAAAGGGAGCCCCAGCGTCGGCGGCTTAGCCACTAGCTCTCAGTTTTCAGGGCTGAGGGTCTACAGCATTTAGCTTTCGGGGCAGTCGTTCGGCTTTGGGATTCGCGGGTTCGTTTTGCCGAGAGGCCCTTCGAGCCATAGCCATAGCGCGGCAGACTTGCATTTCTTCTGCCAGATCCCTGACTCATATTGGTTGAAACATGCTGATTTCGAAGTTTAGTGCTTCGGCTTTGAAGGTTCGATCGTGCAACAATTTATTGAATGCAGCATCAAGTGGGGACATTCCGACGTGGTCGCTGCTGCACATCAATTCACCTGCCACTGAGCTTTCCAGAATTCTTATGCTTGTCACATAACCGATCGGCCTACTTGTCCTTGCAAAATGTGTGATTCGATCGCATGTGCGTTTGAGAACTTAGTTTTGTGCTGCCCAACAAGGCATCTTTTGGTGTTGAGCAGAGACCGTTTGGGATTTCTAAACGACAAGCTTACCAGGACAGCATTGCTTGCCATGGTCTGCAGAGCTGGAGAGTCAGTAGCTTCATGCCTTCCGCAGCGCGAGCAAGAGCAAACAGCTGGGATTATCTTGAAGGGAGTGTGTCTTGGCATGGGAGCATGCTTTCGAGTGGGTCGGGATTATCTTGATATCTAAGGTCCGAAGTGCGGTCTGGAGCCAGGACGTGAGCTTCCGTGTTAGAGTGTCCTGCTGTGATGGCCTTGGTGTTGCAAAGCTTACAGCATGCATTCGTTCAGGGAGACCTCAGCAGAAATTCGAGCCTTTGTGCATTCTCAAAGACTGACCCGGACGTGTACTCTTGTTCAACCCTTCCTCGTGCTGGTTGCTCTTGTAATTTCAGTATCCACCTGCCTCACGAGCAAGAGAAGGTTTGCAACAACATCACCAGTGGCCGTCCGCTCTTGAGACCCGCCTCCGTTGAGCTCCGAGCCATGGGACATTTCTGTGCAATGGTTGCTCGCTTGCTTCTCGTTTGCTTGTGTGTGCAGCCTGCAGCCTCCTGGCCCTGTTGCCCTGCCCTAAGCGATATACAGAAGAGGACATAAGGACATAAGGGTACTGGTAGGATCAGGAGACCGGCGCCTCATTACACCATGACGTTGAGCTTCTGGCACGGATCTATCCTCTGCAGTTACAGATTGAAGGAACTGTAAATCACAGGACCTAGTTGCCTGCCATATGCATTGAAAACAATAGTCATTGCTCAGTCGTGTTTCCTGAACAGCTCAATACCTGCACGAATTTCCACGAGAGCAACAGAGCAACCGGTCCCTCCGGTGGGATCCCAATGTTTCCGACTGCGACAGAGCTTCGACTGGCTAGAGTTCAGGGATTGTTTGCCTTTGTTGATGGACTGTGCTTACGATGCCTTGCCGATGTACGTGTACTATAGGTGCAAGGTTCCAGGGGTCGCACTCAGGTTCTGAGCAAGCGGCGGTTTGAGAAGGATCTCATTTTTTGGGGACATTGCAGGGTGTTTGGAACACCAATGAGTAAAGGCTTGGGATCAGAGTGCCGGTCATCCCAGAAACATGGGCATCAACTTCATTCGGCCTGCTCTCATCTCGTTTGCATTTTTTGTGGATTGCTTGCAAGCACAGCTGTTTGTCAAGTTGCTTGCAGCGGGCGTGCCGGGACCTTGCGCCACCACTAACAGGCACCCATTTATGAACCGAAACCTGTGCTTGATGCAAAGCCACTTTGAGACTGGGCAAGGGGAGTTGGTCAGCAATGTCGAGTCTCTGATCACTGCCAGAGTCATTCCAGAGAATGTTTGGGACCAGACTTCAAATTCAATAAGTAGGTCCAGTGAGTAGAGCTGCACGACCCGGCACTCTCGGGGGTTCATGTGTTCAAGTGGCTCTGGAGCTCATGCAGCCTCGGGCAGACACTCGGAACCATCTTCACGGTCTCATTGTATCTCTTCGAAGGTCCTCAGATGGATGGAAGTCACGGTGGTTGTTACACCTCGCCGCTACACCGCCATGAAACAGCTTTCGTACGACCCAGTCTGCGCAACGGCGCAACCCCACACTCTGCACAGGGCTTTTTGAACGCGTCGCAGCATGAACTTTAAATCTCATGTGCCTTACTTATCAGGTATTGAGTGTCTGGCGATGTACAAACAGCGGTTGATGGCTATCTCACGTACAGGTTTCCTGCGGTCCCGGGATCCGTGCTCCTTTCCAGCGAAGCGGATGGAGTAAGCTTCACTCGCTCAAGCTACGGGTTTGGTTTGCTGTGCTATCACTATCCTGAAATGAAAAGAAGAGGTTTCCAGATCCATGCCCTGCAATCCCTGAAACCCACAGACTTGAAGATCCCTTGCCTGGTGCTTGGCAACCGCCTCCCACACAATCCATATCCTTTTGACATCCGATGCCCGAAGCCCTAGTTTGCAAATTCCGAACTCCATACTCAAAGCGACCTTAAATGCTGAAGATATCGCTGTGTCGCAAAACTAACTTTCAAGGCGTGATGCTTTGTCGCATGGTACTCTGCCCTCTAAAGTTATCGGTACACGTACCACCTGCACCTTTTGTACATGTTTTGTACAAGCAAGTTAGGAGAGATCAACAGTGGACTATTGCGACTTGTTTGGCTCAAGTAAAACAGGCGTGTTGTGCGTTTGTTTGCTTGCTGTTACTGATACACGTCGGTGACCCACGTGTTCAACTGGTTTACAGCCTCAGCTAAGTTGTGGTGTTAGGTAGGTAGTTTTTGCCTCTTGACGCCATAGCGCTTCCATATTTGTCACAGAGTTGCAACCAGTGGCGTTGCCAGGAATTGGAGTGGCGTATAGGTCTAC